ATTTCTTCATCGGTAAACATTACGGTAAGGCTGTCAGTTGAAAAGTATGTACCTGGAAAAGCTGTCTATGCTTGTATGGTTGATGTTCAAGGGAGGACATTTGCTAAAATCACTTTCTTTGAGATATATACCAAAGGTTCTACTACAGTGTTCGACGAAATATTAAATCGATATCATATTAACAATAAAATTTGATATCATATTAACTAATTTTGAAGGTCAGAGACTCACTTGACCAATTTTGACCACTTAATTGCATTGAAATATCACACATTTTAAACAACCTAAACGTCAGGTGAAAAATCGGAAATCATTATATAGAGTATTTTGAGGGCAGAGAAATAGAAGAGCTGATTGCATTCGATTTTGACATTGTTCAAGTATATTTGAGATTTTTTGTTCAAACAAATTTATCAACATATTTATATACATGTTTCAAAATCCTGAATATCAGTTATATACTCACTTATTGGTCACATGGGGTATAAAGTCAGCCGGAAGTTCGAAAATCTTTCTATTAGGAATTCAATTAATTTTTGACATACAGACACTCTTTTATCACGAAAGGATTCTCTCCTAATTTCAATTAAAATATTTCACACACAGCGATCCCCTGTGCCAAATTGCAGTTTTTCTTATATTTATTAGTATCTTTATTTAGTGCTTAGTTATGTCTACGAACCCGCCCTCACTCTTTTGCCAAGGAACACTTGTAGTTTCATTAAGATATCTTAATTTTTATTCAAGCTATAGCTTGCACAGATTGACAGATGGACGGACGCACAGCCAGACAGTCACCTCAATTTTAACTCGTCTCATCATCTTGATAATTTATATATAATATTATAACGCTATATCTAACTCGATAATTTTTAGGTGATACAAGCAACCGTTAGGTGAACAAAACTATGATACTCTGTAGGGCTTACGCCTCGTATAGCTCATTGGCTCTACACAGTAGTTGTTAGACCACTCATGACATACGGTATATTAGTATGACATCCTACTTCACGATAAACCTGCAATGGGTTCCATAGTGATATCCCTGGTAACTGCAAAGCAGAAGAACCAGCCAGAACAGTCACCACTCTACAATTAGCCTCTAAAAAGGGGGAATTTTTATGCCTCTGGCAACTTGTAAACATTTAATTAGCGAACATGTTATAAATTTAGCTGAGTCTTGGTGGAGCCAATCATTGACTCTCTATAGCTATTCCATTCTCACTGTGTAAAGTAAATGTTGACCAGTTCATTCGTACGGCCGCCGAAGAGGCCATTGTACAATACTTCAGCTGCTCGACGACGACACTTGCCGCACTAGAGCGGTGAGAAAAATATTATCAAAAGTTTAAAAATAAGACAGACATTTTGATGTAATCACATTTAGTGAGTAGTTTATATGATGAATGAGAGACGCCGACTTACAGAAGGATGTTAAGCACGTATAATAATACAAAAGAGATCTACCGATTGACATGTAGACTAGAAGCTGCGACTATTTCAATTTGCTGAATGCAGAAAAAAGCAAAACTTCCAAAGAGTAATGAACTTGCACACCACATAATAGAATAGTCTATACATTATGCTACTATGAGGAAGTTGGAATAGCATATATTAGAATAAAAATGCTGCAGCTGCTGCCGATGCCAGTTTATCGATGCTAGTGCTAGGTTAAAACTGGAATTAAAGAAATACGATATAAAGGTGGAGCTAAACAACTGATATCAACTGTGGGTAGGAAACTATGCGAGTGATATGCGCAGCAATGTTGGTTTTTTATGGACTAAGTGTTTAATAAACAGAAGATCATCATTAATTAATCTTGTGACTTGCAAAATTTTAACCTACTTCAGGGCAGGTTATCTGTATGTACATAAGTCCATTGTTTTGACTGTTACATGGTCTTTGATGGTACCAGTGGATCCATGTTTCATCTATAGTCACGAAACGACACAGAAACGCCTTCGGTTTGTGTTATCGTCAAGCTTTTAAGTGGTTTTTCATTTTCGGTTGTTCTCCGGAGTGATCAAACGAGACACACAATGCAGATATCTTTCTCATGGCTCACTCGGTCATTTGAGATGCATATAATTACAATTATCTAGAGTACCTTACATCGGTGGTATGCCAAAATGAGATCGTGGACTTTTGTTACGTTATCCTCCGTAGTAGCCGTTTCCGGGACACTTTAGAGTTAGCAATAGTGGTCTAGTGAATAAAAATGGGTCTTAACTTTTCTCACTTAGTACTTTAATCAATCTATACTATTTAATCGGCGTATACGAGTATATCTATAATCATATGATCGTAACTCGATTTACGCATGAGCTTAGAATCTGCTTACCACCATAACATGAAGGGCATACCCTTACGTTAACTTTAGTACTTTATTTCGCGCAGGTACTAAAGGGTTCCTGGGGTTCCTCCGCCGCATTCGATATATATAATATATAAATATAAGTATGTATAATTGGCATGTGAAGTGCAAATAAAACTTACTCGGTTTGTTGATTGGATAAATGAAAAACAATTGGTTTGTTAGTTTCAGTTTTTCGTTTATTTTCTCTTACTCAATTAATATTTTACATCTGAAAAAAATTTTAACTAAATTTAATGTTAATACTCATTCAAATAAAAATTACATATAATAATAATCTTATAACTATACTAATGTGTTTTTTTTTCTTCACTTAACTATTTATATCCACATGTCTTTATGAGACAGATAGGCAACGCTCCCCAGCTATACTTTTTCTATCATTTGCATTACTTTTTGCCGAGTTTGTCTTTGCTACCTTTTTATTAGCTCATTTGGTATATGAGGCTCTCAGAAAAGTTGATTTTTGTCTTATTTAGTACTTTTGGCATTTTGTGTTTGAATTTAATTCATTTTCACTTATTCTTATATGCTTACATTATTAGCCTAAATATTATTTTACAGATTTGGTATTTTTCAGTTTCATGCAGTTTTTATCTTAGTTTTTATTTTTTGATCTTTATATTTATTTTCTTAATTTCTTTCTTTCTATTTTTAAATATGTATAATTGCACCACTGATAAATTTTTATGTTGTCTAAAAGTCATTTCCACATTTCATCGCCATAAGTTAACATTGGTAGAGTGTGTCTTCTTGTTATTAAATTATACCATTTACTTATTAATTAATGTGTTCTAATTTTAGATTTTTAAAATTTTATATTTACAACAGCTCGTTGGTGAACCATAATTTTGAAAATTTTTAGTTAACTTTACGGATTTTATATAATTTTTGGATACAATTAGATTGAAAACCCTTTGCTGCGAAAATTATGATAAGATAAAAGTCAACGGATTTGTTTATAAAGAAAAACTCAACCGGTAAATTTTATACGGCTTCGATTAATAGAAAAAATTTTATTTCAATTTCTCCTCCTTAAAAAACTGCTACAGCTGAGCTACTTTGAATTCTGCATGAGTATAAAATATAATTCTGCTAAATCCAAACATAAAATTATATAATTTATTATACAGAGCTCAAAAAGGGTCAAGGGTTTTCAGCAAAGGAAATTCTAAATTCCAGAGTTTTCTATCTATCCCATATTTTGTTTTTTAATTTCACAAACTATTAATTTTTTGGTGCAAAATGATTTTTTTTGCTTATAAAATTTACATTAATACGGTGAATTTGTATAATTGTGGGTGACTACACATTTTGTGAAACTTTCGGTGCAGAAACACGAATATAAAATTTAGTTTTAAGTCTAAATATTGGGTAACACTTTGGTAACATTTGGAGGAATGCATTATATGCTTTGATTTCAAATATTTAGAGAATTTTGTTTCTGTGTTAAATAAAAAAGTAAAAATGTACATATATACATATGTCAAATGACACGTCATAAAAGTATGCTAATTTAGAACTAATTACATATAATTAATAAACTAAGAAAACTACAAAAAAATTAATAATTTTTGTTTTCACAAACGTACGTAACAGCGAACTTCATATGAACGTTTGTTTGACCGATTCGACGCTGAATTTAAGAAAAAAACAAGTCCATTCGATGAACAAAAAAGCTCCTCACCAGCTGACACCTCCACCGACAACATTGCTTAGTTCAATAAAAAGTTATTTCCGTCACTAGGACCTACTGTGCATACCTCCATAAAAGTATTTTTCAGACGAATTAAATAAGTTGTACAAGTTTACAGAACTGAAAGAAGAATATGTTGGGGAAATAAATCACATATTTTCTTTCATTTTTGGTGGGCTAGATATTTATTGGACCACCCTTGTAGTTAAGTAAATTATTTCATTACTTTTTCAAAAAATTAATGATATAAAAAATTAGTGAAAAAACCATTTATAGAAATTATTTTAATTTCCTAAGATAACAGGACTCAGTAAGTTAAATATGCATATATTTACTTATTAACAACAATTATTGCTTTTAGAAAAATATATATACATGTATTTTTGTAAATATGTGTACTTTCTTAAGTGAGTGGTTACATGTATTGGTTTATGTGATGATTAAGTACAATAGTCAATACATTAGTAGTGCTGCCTTACTTGAATGCATTCGTGTTTCGAAAAGAGGGTGAAAGTCCCATGCCAAAACATTTGCAAATCTGTTACATAGCATTTGTAAAAAGTTATTTTTAAAATTAATTTTCGAATATTACAAGTATTAATGCACTGGCATTACGCCGGCGCACTTTGAGTGCACACACGCGATGGGTAACTAAGTATAGTAAGCGCTTTCTAACACAAGCTACCGTTGAAACAATAGCTTTCAACCTTTGACAACTTATACTAAGGTATAAGTAATCAACATTTTCATTAAAATAATAACTTTTTCACAATGTGATAATAAACATAATTAATTTCAAACCCTTTTCCTTATTATTTTCGTTATAACTACAATATGCTTAGTTTTCAGCTTTACTCCATTTGTGATTTTTAATTTAAATTTATATTCTGCTTAGTAGTATGTATTTTTATAAGTTACCTCTCTTCATTTTTTCATTGTATTTACATCATAATTGGTTACATCTAACTAACTAATGTGATATAGTGGACGCAGTCATGGTTACTCTCGTCGATGCTTGGCTCTGTTGCCAAATTAAAACAGTTGTTGTTGGCTTCGCTAATTCCATTTGCCGTCTCTTGGTGATTTTCTGTGGTTTGTTGGTTGCAAATATATCGCAGGCAGATCATAAAGAAAGCAGCATCTTAATGAAGAGTAAACATATCGCAAACAAAACGGGTACATTTTTGCTAAAAGAGATGTGTTGATGAATGCCTGGAAGCAGACAAAGGTGAAAATGCATATTTTATAAACTTAACGAACTAAGCTAATTTTTCAATTTTCCATTTTGATAATATTGACGTTCTTTCTTTGCGACAAATAAAGTATGCAAATATTTCTACGAAACTTGAGGTGGATTACCACGCTATTAAACTGCTCTTATTTAAAACTATATAAGTTGTTACAACTCTGTAACCATTTCTGTTTTCGAGAGTTGTGACAAACACTCTTTACAAAAACTCATTTTGCTAAAATTGTTCGAAATTACACTTTAGCAACAAACTTATTCTATTAGCAGTAGTTTAATACCGGTTAATCATTTTTGTGTCAGAAAGATTAACTGCTATCAATTGGCGGTTTCCTGTAAATATTGTCTGTCTGCTTTTAATAATTGGCCGTCAGCGCTTTGGTGTGATTTATCTTCAGCCTACGACAAGTTCTATTAATCTTTCTCTTCACATTATTCTGTCTAGACTAGCTCACCGTTTCTATAACTTGAGCGAGGTCAGATTCCCTAATCAGTTTTGCTTAAGAATTAGGATTAGGTAAGTAGGTAGAGTGCCTGTCTTTCGACACACCTAGGCCTTTAGGAGGCCCAAAGTCTCCTCACTCTATTGGCTCCTCTCTGAACCACTCGGTACTTTTGATGAATTTCATCAGTAAAACAAGTTTTATTAGTGCAACCTCCGAGACGTTGTTATGAAACCCTGGCCGATAGCTAAGATTATTTTCCTATAGAGAGCCTTACAATCGAATAGAAGATGTTTAATGGTCTCCTTCTCTCCTACCTCCAGACAGCTTCTAAAATAGTCATTATATGATCTTCCAAGTCTACTGGCATGTTTGCTTATTAGACAGTATCCTTTTAGTATCCCTTCTCAAGTTCTTCTATCACTCCGTTTGAATTTTAAAATAAATGTAATAAATATTCCATTCATGCCACGTTTACCTGCTTGTTGAGCAAGTCAGGGATTGATTCCACTGAGACTCAGCTATGTTTATAACATGTTTTTCGATTAAATATCTAGACATTAATATATGTAGGGTAAATCATGCTGTGGCTAGTTCATCTGCTTCACAGCTACCGGGTATATAATATAATTGCTGATAATTGCTGTCACCTTCGTTTGGAAGACACTGAAGTGGTCTGGAAGTCGAAGGGCGATTTAGGTATCTAGTTTAGCTGAGAAGACATCGCCGCCCACTCTGTTATCTACTTGTAGTTTGGAACCATCCTTATAGATGCTTATCCCTGCCTCCTTGTCCACTTCGCCCTCTGTAGGATTTCGAAAATCCGTAGTTATGGAAAAAATGGTAGCTTCGTAAGTATCATAGAATATCTCTTCTTACTGGCGACTAGTTGGAAGGATTCCCTCAGTCTAAGAGCTGACTTCGCTCCAAAGAGGCTTAGCCGTCAGGCAAGAGACCGAAGTCCAAGGGCGTGACGCCCGCAAATTCATTTGCTAATGTGGCCCGGAATCGCATTATCATTGGTGTGCTGGATGAGGGAGATCCCGAAAGAAAAATCCGCAGAGCTCAATGGAAATGGGGCAATGTGGCGATGGAGGTGCTACTAAGTAAGCCAGGTCCGCATGGTACTAGGGCCAAATAAAATCATACCTTAAGTATAAAAAGGCAATAGCTAAGGTGCGGGAGGTCTACCCCGGATCCAGTTAGTAGCGGTGGAGCAGAAGGATATCCCACCCGATCGAAAGCAAGAGTATGGATCCCACGTGTTACTCTTTATTTATTTACTAGGAACTAAGCTTTTGTTATGCAACAAAGGCAGTAAGCCAATATTTATAACTAGAAATCGACAGGAAGTATTAGACATAATACTTGTGTCGGAAGAACTGGTACATAAAATGACACATTGGAGAGTACTTGAGAAACACTACTTTTCAGATCACCGCTACATTGAGTGCATAATTGAGAATGTAGATTGGGTGGAAAAATTCAGGAATCATAGGAAAACGAACGTGTAGTTGCAACTGCAGGAACTAAAAAAGCGTATTTACATGATTCCGCCATTTCGACCAGAGCATGAAAACCACCTAGAAATCCGCGTTAAACAATTCATAGATTCTTGTCGACAAGCACTAGAGGGGGCTTGTTTAAAAACACGTAGTATTGGAGGAATTAGGCCCCTATGTTGGTCTCCTGTACTTGATAATGTGCAGAAAGATTGCAGGAAGCAATTCAATTTAACCAAACTATACCAAAGATAGGATAACTATTATTACTTCTTAAGGTCATATAAAAAAATGTAAGGAAGACCCAAAGAGATTCGTGAAAATCTTTTCGTAATGACACTGAGAATACGGCAGAAGAGTCTCGACTTAGAAAAATAATGGCACAGTCGATACATAACACCGAGCAAGTGATGTCATTAAGTAAAATTGAGAAAAAAATATAAATTGCTCTAACAAGTCACATTGATAAAAAAATTTCATTTAAACATCTCAAAATTTTCTCGAAATACAAGAGGGGCTAGACCTAAACTCTGACCATTCCCCAAAATACTGAACACTAAGTGAAACAGTCATCAAAAAAGAACTAAATTTGAAGTTATAACCTTAGGTGCACAAAACTATTATACTCTGTAGCAACAAGTTGCAAGAGTATAAAAATACGAAATGGACTTTGTTCAAACATATATATTCTTCAAACTAATATAAATTGTCCACGAATCCCAATAATCGAACTAGAGCTAAAAGTTGACAGATGTACAAGATCATTAAAGAAATAAAAACATCCCTAACCAGGAAACGAAAGTTACGACTTCTCGTAAAATGACAACGAACCAAACCAACCTTAATAAGGAAACAGCTAAATTAAAACGAAAAATATAATATAAGTGATTTAGCAAATAATGGCTGTCAAAAAAACAAAAATACTTACTCCCTGAACATGCCACATTGCGTCATTAAAAAAAAGCAGTAATACATGGGCTAGAAGTGATTGTGACAAAGGTAATGCATTCGCTAAACACCTAGCTGAAACTTTACAGTAGTAGTCATAATTAGTGAAGTTAAAAATGAAATTAAAAGGCTTAAATTTAAGAAAGAATTTTATCTAATTACAGCTGAAGTCTGAAAGTAGTTACCGTACAAAACTTTACTAAAGCCTACCTGCCTTTTCAATTCATCAAACAGTCAGCACATTTTCCAAGTCTTTGGAAAGTTTCTGAAGTTGTCATGGTTCCTAAACCGGGAAAGGATCCTCATATAATCTCATCATATAGACCCATTTCGCAAATCTCCAAAACTGTTTCAAAAATTAATAATTCAAAGACTAAAATCCATTATCGATGAAAAACAGTTAATCTCATCGGATTAGTTCGTTCACTGAATAATGCGCCACATGTATTAAATTTCACAATATTAGAACGGCTTTATCGGAACAGGTATAAAAAAAGAACGGGCGTGGCAGCATGGACGGTGCCTGAAACCAAATTCGGTGTGTAAAGTTACCCAAATATTCCTATTACACACTGTGAAAATGTCCAATCAGATGATAACCACGCCTTCTTTCCATAGAACACACTTCTAAATAACATCTGATTCTTTCACTTTATATTATTCAAATTCAATACCAATGTAGTTATCTGAATAAAACATATTTAGGTACCAGAATTTTCGCTTTTGTTTATTGTTGATATTATATGACTCAACCTTGGTGTTCTCGTAATAGATCGGGGTGGTACCACATATGGGGGGTAGTACCACTTTATTCTAAATTTTACGATTTTTTAGACTTAGTATAACCTAAGGCGAAATTCATTTTGTATAGATTTTTCTTCATCAAAAACTAAATTCGACCTAATGGTAAGAAAATTTCATATTTTTGGAACAACGATTAAACTTGAGTTGGGTGTGGTTACTACTTAGGCTTGCTCATTTTCGGGCAGTCCTACGTCATAAATGAACCCCATAGTATCAAACTTATACTAAATGTAGGTAAACATATATGTATAAGGAAATAAAATCCTAAACCAGGAATATATGTTCGAATTTATTATCGCTTTTACAATTTATTCCCTTTTCGTTATACCGCTTTTACAATAACCACCCTTACTATATTTAAGATACTTACCGGTCGTAGCACCACTCGCTCCACTACCGGCATGTATCAGCATCTGATTGTTCAAATTGTCGTAGTGTGTGATTGCCGCAGTCAATGACGTTTCACGCTTCAGTTCCGGGAAATTTTCAATTTCCGCCACGCACTTCAATTCCAGACTTTTTCCAGCATGATAGAAGCGTGGACCGCTCAAATAAAAGCGCACCTGAAGCTTTTGGCGTCGCAGGACGTAATCGTGCGCCGGAATGCTGGTGTCAATGCTGGGTTGAAGTTCACCTAGTGAAGCCTGTGCGGTGCGACAAGGAGCGAGAACAAAGAGAAATAAAATAGAAATATCAATTTGTGACACCGCAATGATACAATTGGTTAATATAAGGTGGAAATAGAAATAGGAAAGTATGTATTTTTTAGAGCGAAATAATAGAGAACGCAAAAATCATATCACCGATATAAATAGTTCCGATAAACTTTAACATTTTACGTAGGATGTCTTGAAGTGCGCGCATTTTAAGACACCCCCTACTCACCTGTTCGGCGTTGATAAACCATGTCAGTCGCGTGGGCAAACTTGAGTAGTCCGAGGTGCAAGTGGCGCTCAGTAGTTCTTCCATGCGGTACATTGAATTGAAGCTGTCGATCAGCGGGTCACTCTGAGGCAGCGCTGCGAATACGTTCGAAAAAGAAGGGCGAGAAGGATACAAAAATTGAAAGTGGCATTGCATTGAACAGCAGTTCGTGCACAAGTGGATATCGCGCTAGAGCAACTAAGATTTCTAACAAAAAAACAGTATCGCTAACTACACGATATAGCGTGATTTTTCGTGCTGATTTTGCTACTTATTTTCAGTCGTTAGTTGTCGATACAATTTCTGTCAACTTTTGTATGTGCTGAGTTTGTGTGGCGATAGGAGCACTGTATGCGTGCGTATGGATTCTCACCTGCTACGGTCATGTTGTCCCCTTTTGCCGCCAACTTAAAGTGTGGGGCATCACCAGATACCTCACATTCGTATGTGCCCGTTGATTTTGCGCCGACTAAACTTAAATCCACCCGACACGTCGATTCGTTGCAGAAGTACTTGCCATCTTGCACTTGAACGCCAGCGACGGGAAATTTCATATATACCGGATGCATCATTGGTGAGTATCTGGGTTTAAATATAGAATTTTTGTACATATATCATTAATAATTCAGTGAAAATAAATTTATTAAGAAGCATGCAATGGGTAAGTATGATACTGGAATTCAGTTAAATTCGTATATACTCCTGTCCACTTAAATTACAAGTAGACTAAAGTAAAATGAAAAGTCTTCAGCAACACATAAATAAATTTATGTACTATAATTTAAAGAAATCTTAGGTACATGGAGTTCTATGTGTTGCTTCAACGATCTTATTCCCTCAAAGGAAGTCAACCAACGTTAAATTTTACTAGCTTGTATTGAAATCAGCACTGACATCGCGTTGGGTAGAAGTCCTAACATCTGGCATACATAGTATTGTACTACAGAGTTGATAATTAAATTAAATATGTGGGGACTATTAAACAAATTTTAGTACCAGGCAAAGTCATTGTCAGGTATTCGAATAGACGTGCGCTTAGTTTCATTTGTAAGCAATAATGTGCCAATATTTTTGATAAAAGGTCAGTCATCGGCCTCACATTCGGCATCGATGAACTTTAAAAATCAAGATCCGCCTTCGACCATTAAGAGCTGAGTTAACTTATATAAGAGACACTATTTCTGCACTTTATACCCTGAACAGGGTCTATAAAGTTTGCCACGAAGTTTGAAACGACCAAAAGTAAAAGTCGAAGACCCTATAATGTATATATAAATGACCAGCGTCGGGCTGAGTCGATTTAGCTATGTCCGTCTTACTGTCCGTCTGAATATCCTAGATATTTTCACAAAATTTTGCATGGATTGCTATCCAATGTAACGCTACACTGTTTGAAGAAATTGTTCACATTGGACTTCTATGGCATATAGCTGACATACAGACCGAACGGTCGATACCAAGGTTTTGTATATATATCCAAAACAACGGTATAATCTTCGAACAAATTGTTCAGATCGGATTGCTATAGGTTACAGCTGCCATACAAACTGACCGATCAAAATGAAGTTCTCGTATTGAAACTTTTTTTTTTAAGGGTTTATACCATTACTTGTGCCTTAACTCTAGCAATTTACATATATTAGTATGAAGCTATAAAACTGACATGTTCCTTAAGCACCTCTACCGACACTGTAAAAATTAATGAAATCGGATGATATCCCTGCCCACTCCGCATATAACGGTTGTGTTAAAAACTACCTAAAAGCCGATAAATCAAGAAATAAATAAGTCAAAAACATAATTTTTTATAATAATAATTTAAAATTGCTTGAGAATATGTTCTTGAATATACCTGTGCAATATACCCTATACAATGATTTCTCTAGTCCAACCTGTCTTTAAACCGTATAAGTTGATCAAATTGTGTGATAATTTAATTTATTTAGGTGGTCAATATTTCTTAAAAATTATGTGCTTTAGCGCTGAATATGAATGGAATTGATTTAGATCTTCGTACAAGCCTCATATCCCTAATATCACAAATTCCGATCCTCTAATTGACGTTTTACAAATCAACTAAATATATTAAACTTAGCCTATTCGGTTGACTTTATGTCATATTTCTTATTTTAAGATGATTTTAATATAATTTTCGTTGACGGGAAGTCAAATATGCTTTTGAAACTAATTGAATAATAATTTGGAGCTTTTATGCAGAATAAAACCGATTTCTTACATCGTTTTATAACTATGAATGAGACTTGGATCTGCCACCATGATCCTAAATTGAAACAAGAAGGTTTACAGTGGACTAAAGCTGGTTGTTCAGCTCCAAGGCAGGTGAAGTCACTACGATCAGCAAAGAAGGTTATGACATCAATTTTTTGGGATGCAAAAGGAATTTTGTTGATTGATTATCTGCAGAAAGGTAAAAAAATCAACTCTTTATTGAAGCCTCTTGGATCAGCTGGATGAAAAACTTCGTGAGAAAAGACCTGGTTAAGACAATGCACCTGCTCACAAAGCTGTTTTAACTATGACAAAATTCAACAGATTGGCTACCAGCGACCTGAAACAATTCATTCGTGGAAAGCGTTTTTTGTCGAATGAAGAAGCTATTACAACCGTAGACGGATATTTTGCAGAGCTTCCGGAAAGTCAATATAGGGATGGCATAAAATTATTGGAGGATCATTGTAATATGCGTATTGAAGTTAAAGGAGATAAAAAAATATATTCCATACCAAAAACCTTAATTTTTCATTTCGAGCGCAGAGACTTTTCAACCAACCTGTATTCGATGTCGGCAGCTCACGGATTTTGTTAATATTCAGCCGCTAAAAAATAGTATATTATTGCATCACTTTGTTTAAAATTGTTTCAAAATATTTGGTTCGAAAATGAGCTACTAAAAATTTAACACATCACTTCTTTCTGTATTGGTAACTACTTCAAAATTAATATTGTAGAATCACGGTTGTTTTTCAATTATTGAAATAGTTCAGACTTTGTATCATGTAGTTGCAAATCTGCAACATTCTAGTAAAACATAATCATTCACACAAATTAAATTATTGAATCCAATGCGTTTATTTAGGATCAACTGAAACAAAAATATTTACAGAAATACTCTGCCTTAGAGAAATTGAAATTTCTGGCAATTAAAACAATTAAAGGGAATAACCTAGCAAAATATATGTTCATCAGGTTATTTACGATGGAGTTTGAAAATCGGAATGTAATCATAACCCACATATACAGACGGAGTGCGCAAATCAAACTGCCGATTCTACTCCGTCTCAGTTCGTTTCCAATCATTCAAAAATTTCATAACTCAGCAGGTGCGCATATCTATATTGTATATGTTGGCCCAAATTTGCGTATTCGTTAGAGGCTAATGTATATTATAAGTCTGCCATATCCATATTTCATATATGTATAAAAATGTATGTGCACAAACAGATGCATATACATTTGTTTACTTCACACTGAATTATAAAGGATAAGTCTTCTATCATTCATGAAATTACATATGTATGTATACCAAGGTGGAGCGAAAAAAATTTTTTTTTTTTTTGCTTAGCTTGCGGGTAAAATTTGTGGATTATAAAAAAAGAAAATTTTAGGAAAATAATAAAATGTTTAACATCTCACTTTTTAAGTAAAGTTTCGAAAAAAAAATTTTTTTTTTTTTGCTTAACCTGAGGGTAAAATTTGTGGATTATAAAAAAAGAAAATTTTAGGAAAATAATAAAATGTGTAACATCTCACTTTTTAAGTAAAGTTTCGAGTTAAAATTTTTATTTCGTAATAGTGAGCTGTGGAGAGTCCTCTTTCTAGCCTTAAAAGTTATCAACTTAAAAAACTTTTTTGTGGTCATTATTGGAGTTTAAAAAAAGTCTTAAACGACAACATGCTTTTCGTAAACGTTAAAATTAATTTTGAGTCAAATACCGTCACATTCGGTAATTTTTATATAAATGTAAAGAGTTTAAACCAAAGATAAATTTTTCCAAATTCGTCCAAAAAAAATTTTAACTCGAAATTTATTTTAAAATTGTGTGGGGGCCGTCTCTAGACGTTAAAAATTTAATTTTTTTTGTACGAAATTTTTCTTTTTTTATAATCTACAGATTTTACCCTCAGGCTAAGCAAAATAAATAAATTATTTTTTCGCTCCACCCTAATGAACACTACATATGTATGTATGTTTGTACATTCAAATATATGTACATAGTTTCTCAAATTGGTAATGAGAAATGTCTAATCCATCCACTAGGTTGCAAAGCAGGGCTTAATAGATTACAAATCTGGAACACATTGGGCTCGCTGATGGCGTAAATACGGCATCCTATTTCAACCTACCAATTAACCAATTTGTACGCAACAAACATTTTTACAGGTTTCGTGATTTAAATGTATGGAAGAATTTATTTGAATATAATAATATTCTATAATTTTCGTCGGCTAATATGGTAAATCATATGCAACACATGGCTTATACTAGAATCAGGGATGTTCACGCCGTAGCTCAGTTTCAAAACGGTTTCTAAACTTGTGTGTTGGAATAAGTTAGCTAAATAAGTTTAATGTAAACACATGGACTTACGCTAACTGAAATTGGCGCACGTTTCAGTTGAAAACAGTTTTGAAATTTTAGCAGAAATGAATTGTTGGTTGCAAGTCACAAGTGTTGCTGCAGGAGCCCAGCAATATGATTATTGTATAGCTACGAAGGTGTGTGTGTCTGTGGGAGCTGTAGTAAGCTTATAAATATACATATACACTCGCCAGAAAAAGTCTGCCTGAATGAGCTCACATCCCTTTGACCCTTGTATATTCCATGCCAAAACCCTTATCGCAACTTTTTAAACGTTGCGGATAACCGACTTCCTATTGAGTTTTAAGAAGAAATCGTAGGAAGAATAACTTAATTCGATTTATGTACCTTGTACTAGAAGAATGGAAGAGGTTTTAGGCTGACCTCGAACCCTACCAAGGTTGTCAGGGTGCCCATTACACACTGCAAATTGGTATCCAAATAAATGCTTGCAAATAGCTCGTAATGTTTGAGGCGCAGATCAACGCAATGTATTGATACGCTGTGCTTTCGAGCACCGTGTGGTTAGGCCGTCGACGGCAGGTACTCACGTAAATCACAACGAAAGTTGTACCTTGTAAGCAGACTTTTTCTAATGGATTTTCCTTTCGTCCTTATGTTTTGTTTATAGGTTACTGTCGGATATTTCATCACTATTATTTTCATACATATACTACATTGTACGCAAACTTTTTCTGCCAAGTGTATACACATATACTTGTGTATGTGCATTGATAAAGGAGTTTACGCAATTTTACAGATTACCGTCACGTTTGGTTACGTATACGTCATGGGTGGCAGTAGGGTATAGCAATGCTGCAGCAATTGAAGGAATTTTTTGCTAGTTTTTGTATGTTTTCAACATTTATACTTTACAATCGCTTACCTGAAAAATTCCAGTTTATCCTTATACCATTTCACGGAATTCAATGTATGTCCGCTCATATCATAACTGCAGGATAACGTGACATTATCGCGAAAATCAACAATTTCCGGAACATTGATGTCAGTAACAAAGAGGCAGGAGATTCGATGAAAATCTGAAAGATAATATGTTAATAAAAATGAACAAAGAAATGAAATAACCAAATTTATATTTAAAACATGTCTATGTGTATTTGAAAAAATACAAATAATATCTACTTATATACAAGTACCATACATATGTATGTGTATATTATATGCAAGTAAGTGAGAACACTTGTTAAATCTTAATATACGTGTAAAATTTAATAAAACAAATTATACGTTATATTCTCCCTACTATATTACTATGGTACATACGTATATTTATGTATATATAGGTATACTATGTATAATATGTGCGAAAATATGTTGTCATTCAAGTTGAGCATTACCTTGCTCGAATAAATAGTTAAATTTACGTTTTTCCGGTACAAGCAATTCAATCCCCAATAAATGCACATAAATCATGCAAGTTTTACAGATGAGCAAATTCTCGAGAAAACAGTTACAATTAAGCGGAAGAAAGCATTTCTAGTTTTGATTCAGAATATCAAAAAACTCAATAGAAGTACCATAATCACAACGAATGGGATGTTGTTTAACATTTTTAAAGGAAAACAAGAAAAAACGTTAACTTCCGCAGCACCGACGATATAATGTCCTCCACATATACATTTCTTAAGCTTTTCCTTACTTTTGATTGGTCAGTTTTTTTGGCAGCTTAATGCTAGTAATCCGTTCTATTCCATTTCTTCGGATATTAACTGTTGCCTTAAATAATAATCCGTGAAAAATTTCGTGAAGATATCTCGTTAAAAAAAAAAAAAAAAATACTAATAATAATAATAATAATCACAAGTAAGGAAGGACAAAGTTCGGCTACAACCGAACATTTTATACTCCTGCAGCTTGCAAAGATCAAAGCTGGTGTGGCAAAACGTAATACTAAACAAGTAAGGAAGGCCTAAGTTCGGATGTAACCGAACATTTTATATTCTCACAAAGTCAAATGGTAGACTCGTTTGAGAAAAAAATATACATTCGGCGTAAAACTGGTTAGAATAACGAAAAGTATTGTAAGTAGTATATGGAGGTTGGGGGTAGTATTAACCCGTTTTTATCAATTTTTGCCAATACCACATACTACTAACATTCCACAGACTAATAAAATCCTCCCACTGTTTCATTAAGGTACCTCACATATTATCACCAATCATGTGGAGTTAAATCAGAGAGTTCATTTTATTATATGAATTTCAATTATATATCTTACACATTGACTGATATTTTCGGTAAAAAGTCAACTATAGGCACTGGGGTCCACATATTAAGTACCGAGAGGCTTGAACAGTTCGATTTAGATAATTTTTGGTCACAAGGTGGGATACTTTAAACGAATTATTCACGGAAAGTTTAACCAAGATACAATCGTTGTTGCTTGATTTGCATAGGGAAAAGTGAAAGAATCAGAAGGAATTCAAAATGGTGCTAAATGGGAAATAGGCGTGGTTGTTATCCGATTTCGCCCATTTTCGCACTATAATATATAAATATGAGAAGAATGTTATGCACCGAATTTGGTTGAAATCGGTTAAGCAGATCTCAAGATATGGGGTTTCCCCTTAAAGGTGTCGGTGCCACGCCCACTATTTAATTTTAAACGCGGTTCCTATAAAGTCCTCTCATACTATCTCAGAGGTGGAGTTTAATGGCTCCGGAGTGTTTAGTGCTTGATTTATCGGGGAGTTGGCGGGGTAGTCACCCGATTTCACGTCGATAGAGATGCTAAAAACATTTGTTTTCAGTGAATTTTGTTCTTATAGCTTTAGTGGTTTCGAGATATGTACATTAAACCTGTAAGGGGCGGGACCGCACCCACTTAAAAAAATGTAACTGTAGATGACCCTTCTTAATGTGATTCTGTATACCAAATAACAGTCTTGTATCTTTTTTAGGAGCCTAGTTATGGCAATTTATTTGTTTCTGATTAATGACGTTTTATGGGCGTGGCAGTGGTGCGATTACGCCTTTCTGCAACACGAGCTGTCCTATTGTATCAAGAAACATATGTACCAAGTTTTTTGGAGATATCTCAAGTTACAGCTTGAGCCTCTTCTCTAGGTGAATAGAACTATTATACTCTGTAGCAACAAGTTGCAAGAGTATAAAAACGTTGCGAAAGAATTCAGCATTAATTATTTGACGAAATTGTAGATAGATTACAATCAGTTTTGGTATTTTAATAAGTTCTTTTATGTAGGTCTTAGGCTCGCTACAATATTTTACTTCGCGTCAGTTAAAATTGTATTAAAATCATCTCCAAACGAGATATATGGGATATAAACTCAACTGAAGAGGCTAAATGTAATATAATGAGTTGGTGTGAAAACACATTTGATAATGGATATAAGGTTTGGATCAAGGTCTAGACCAATTTCATTCATATTCTTACACAACTATTAAGAAAACTTGTTCATTTAATTTTATTAAAATATCACACATTTTGTCAGGTGTAAAGTCAGAAATTGTTATACAGGCGATATAGGGGACAGAGAAAGGAATGTGCTGATTGAATTAATTTTGACATTGCTGAGGTATACTTGAGACCATATTTTCAACCATGTTTATAAATATAGATCTAATACACACAGTGTAAGCTATAGAATATCCAAAATTATACGTTCAGTTAATTTTGCTAAGATATCTTTTATATTGACTGATATATATGGTATAATAGAGATAGGGGTCGCATTGACCCGATTTTACCTATTTTCGGCATTATTACATATTAATAACAGAATAAAATTCTGCCTGAGTTTCGTTTAGATACCTCATATACCATGAAAATTCTGTGATTAGTTACGTGAGGGCTAGGACAGGTTTTTATTTTAGGCAAAAAAAAAAATGTATATCCGCTTCATTTGGTAAGATAGCTTTCATATTTTCCGATATATGCGGTGTGAAGTAAACCGAAAGTTTGAAAGTATTTCTATAAGATATATGGGGTCTAACTCGACAATCCATTCTTGTCATACAGGCTTACTATTATCAGAAGGAGACTCAATCCGAAGTGCAATAATATAATATAATATATCTCACAGATTTCCGGTAAAAAGTTTGCACCAGGCAATAGGGTCATCATATTCCCTAATTAGGGGCTTGAATGATGATGACCCGATTCTACAATTTTTTAAGCTTGATTTGCATACTGGAAATTGTTAGAATCTTATGGAATTTAAAATTGTGCTATATGGGAAGTAAGCGTGGTTGTAGCCCGATGTTTACTCTGTGGTAACATGTTACAAGAGTATACAAATTTCAAGTTTTTCATACAAGCACTTTATTCCGATCATTCAGTTTGTATGGCAGCCATATGCTATAGTGATCCGATATCGGTGTTGCCGACAGATAAGCATTTGCAAAATTTCATATCGATATCTTAGCCAGACAGGCAGACAGACTAAGGTCATCTTGCTGATCATTTAAATATATGTTTAATAGGGTCTCCTTCTGGGAGCTACAAACTTTGTGCCAAACTTGGTACACCCTATTCAGGGTATAAAATCTCAATATTACCCACCGCCGGTCAGTGTGATATTTGATTCGACAACTTTTAAAGTGAAATGGCATACAAGTACATGCGCCTGCGTGCATAAAATTTTTAAATACGTGTAGATATGTATACTCGAACCCGTTGTGTATTTGCAGAAGAACTTGTAGGCGTTGTAAAGTTGTACAAAAGCAAATAACTGTCGAAAGATTAATTTGCATTTTTTACATGGAATAAATAAATTGCACTTTATAAGCCAACGTGTGGCCATGTTAAATTCACAGCATACATTTTATTTTACTTATGGACAAGTTTTTGAGTAAATTACGGTAGAAAATATTTTAAAGATGTTAAGTTCATTCGGGTACTTCTGCAGATATTTTAGGTGAGAAAATGTGGTGTGTTATTTGAGCACATTTGAGTTGAAATTTATTTATTTTTATGAGGTGATCCTGTAAAATAATATGTTTAGTTTTGCATGGAAAGTATGAAGGCATGATAATATTATACAGAACCAACATGAAACGATTATAAAAAAAAAATTAAAGAAACTGAATTCTGCCGAATGCATTAAATTTTGGCTGAGCAGAAAGTCTTTGGCCGCACATTGATCTCAAAGTCCAATCAATCTAATAACGTAAATCAATATTATTTATTGATTGTTTTACCTTGTTCGAGGTAGTGGTTGAAAAAACTCCATGTGAGTCTCACAGAATACTGACTAAAACCTTTTCGCCTGTTGTGTTTTAAGACACTTTGAACTACTTTTTGGGTACTACCAAAAGTATCTGGTACACAACCACGCATCTGTTATCACAAATCTGTGCAAAAACTTGTTCGATCAGTACTCGATTGGTTTTTGTGAGTCCAACTCGTCTATCTTTTTGATCAATGTTTAAAACGCAGAACCCATAGCGCGCAAATCTTTTTCGTATGTGAAAATTACGTTTAATAACTTACTTAGTTTATTTTATTTAATGATTACCCAATACAATTTTACGATGTTTTCAGACATTACTGCTTCTTGTGGCTATTGTGCTCGTATGGTTACGCTTAAATTTAACTAACCATTAACAGACCTTTGAATATAAACAAACATTCTTTCAACCCATCAGGAAACAATGCTTTATCAAAGCAAGGAATTCAGAAAACAAAAATAACAGAGGTAGCGTTTCATTGAAGCCAATTGTGCAAAAACTCCCCAAGCCAAACGCCAAAAGCCCTTAAAACATGTTTATTCTCCGTTCGGTCAGTTCCTTCGCAAGTGGTCGCGAATTCGAAACAACAAGTAAAAATGTATTCTTCCCTATTTGGATAAGAAGAGATATTTCTTATACTTAAATATCACTATTTGACATTATTTTAATTTAATTCACAGAACTCTGATCAAATCAAATGTTCTTACATTCGTTTTGATAGGTCTCTCATGGCTGATTTTGATTTGCATTTAGTTTAACATTTTGTTCGCTAAGGTATAACTTAATGTCCATATACTTGTATGTGTTTTACGAATCGTTGTCATGA